ATAAAATATAATTACGGAAATGAATAAAAACCTAATTGAATAGATCAGGAAGTACGGAAGTTTCCTTTTCATATTCTATCGTAGAATATATTGGAGATACATTTATAAACGAGTATTTTATTTATATAAATATTATATATATGTAAGTATTATAAAATATAATAATACTTTGTTTTTTACTGGTAATCAATTTGGGTCTTTGATTTTTTTTAGATATAATTTTTGGTAATACTTAATTAAAATTATTTTTATATTATATTTTGTTTATTACTTTATCATGAATATACTTCTATTGAATATATTCAACTAATTTTTTAAAATGTATATTCTCGTAAATCGTAATTATTATATTTTATATTAATAGGATAAATAAATCAATGTTTGTAATTATTTATATTTGAATAGATATCATTATATTTTATATTAAAATCTATAAAGTGCTGCTGTTTGTAGAATGGTGTATAAATACTGATTATTGTTTTTTTATTTGTTTTTGCAAATTACTATATGTTTATTATATTATTTTCATTCCTTGAATTTAATTTCAAATTATTTTATTAATTTTATTATAAATTATTATTATTTTTTTTTATTCTCTTATTTCAATTAAAACATACTATTAATTTGTTGTTATCAGTTTGATTTTTATATAGAACCAGTATGTAATTAGGTAGAAGATATTAAAGTGTTTCGATTTATTTGTTATCGTCGACATTATAAAACGAGTGAAATCTGCTATAATTCTAAATTTTTTAAGAAAATGTTGTGCAATATTATAAGTATTAGAAGAAACAAAAAGTAAAAATTAAAAATAGGTAGAAATTTGAATGAAAATTTATGAAATTAAAAACTTAATTATAAAGTTTTGTGTAGTAAGTGAAAAGTTCAAAAATATATCTAAATAATAATAACTATATTATTCAATCTATTTTCTATCATTATTAAATAATTGCAATTTTCCTAAATTTCCTACCGAACATTTTGACTTTACATAAAAAAATTAAAAATATATAAATTTAATTATGCATCTATATAAAGATCTAGGATAGATATGTTGTCAATAAAGCATGATAAAGATAAAGATAAAGAAAATCTAATTAAAGGGCTTTTTGATTTAAAGGCGCGAGCCATCAGGACAACTCTGCCAGACTCAATGCTTGTCACTTTGAGGGGGGTAGTACAATTAGGATATCCATTAAAGTGTCGAAGTCAGGGTGGTGGAAAATTGTTGATCGAATGCATTACGTATCACAGTCATGCATGTTAATTAATTCGGTGCAACACGCACTTGCAATTTTATGCTATATTTATAGTAATGTCTGAGGATCGAATTAATGCTGCTCTCGATAGTTCTCAAGTGTTTATAGGCATGTTAATCCACTTTTAATCTGTACAATATTTTTTATTCCACATTTTGAAATAAAGTTTTTTAATTATAACGCGACTGTAATTATGCAAGTGCCCACGAGCGAACATTATTTTGCGCAATTAATGTTCTTTATATTATCTCGAATTTGTATTAGATATTTAAGTTGTTTTATTCGTGTTTATAGTGTGCTGTATGTCTTTAATGAATTATACCAATATGAATTAATCTAGCGTGACTATTAGTGCATCTGCATGCATCCATATATAATTTGTTGTTGTGAGTATCTCGCATTTTAATCAATAGATGATTTCACATGCATTTAAGCAGCACTTCCAATGAATTATTTAGGGGTTTTCTTGGCCCTCCATCAGTCCAATTTATTGTATCTATGTGTTTATTAATTCATAATTAATTCTAACTCTTACTAATTATGCCAACATTAAAAAAATCTATCAATAATGAAAATGTAGATTCTTCAATTATTGTGGAAGTTTACGTTCGCTATTCTTATTAACATATCTTATATAATTATAATATGAAAAAACCTTAATTTATTCAATGAGACTCAATTTTGTGATTCAAATGATACCCCTGACATATTGAGTATATAATTTTAATCTATTTTTGATTAAAAGAACAAATGTAATTCAAAAAGAACAACAAGAATGAAAAAAATCGCATTTGCTAATTAAAGATAGATATTTATTTGATTACATAGTTGATAAAAATTTATGAAGATATAAATCTAATCGAATGAAATAATAATTGGCTATACATATCGTAAGGTTCCATTAGGTTCCATCCAGATCTAAGGATTTGCTTTATTTTTTCGACTGCACAATTTCTTTATGCAGAGCTGAAGGGTTTTGGCAGGATATATTTATGAATTGTAATTTTTTTCAACATCTATTTCATATTTAACGAATGTATTAAATTAAAATATGTTTTATTCACAAAAATGAAGTTAAATTTTTATGATTTTAATTACTTATGAAAGTGAACAATTTTTTGCTATTAAAAATTAAACTATCTTTATTAACATTCATGGTTTAAAGTGTTGATTTATTGACCAACACATTTAATACCCTAGTTTATTGAATGCAACGAAGGTATAACTACTACTTGACCTAGATTAGACACAATATATTGTGAAGTTAAGTCAGTTGAATATAATGTGTACTTGTTGACATCAATATCATGAATATAGTATTAATAAGTTAAATTTGTTCTGAAATGATAATAATATCTTTAATTATACATACAATATGAATTATTCGGAAATATGTTTTTACACATTCGCGCGCGAGTACAACTATATATATATTAGTAATAATATTATAATTAAAAACTCACTATTTTTTTATAACATTTAAAATTCAATGTATAATCTATTAAATTATAATAATTGTTAATAATAATTATAAAATAATTTGTATAATAATCTATTAAAAAATTACTGATTTATCAGATTTTTTAATATATTATAATAAATCATTATAACGTATAATTTGAATATTTAATTATAATGTCTAAAGAAAGCAAAATCTTGAGTTTTTACAATTTCCAGATTTGGAAAGTTCTTAACAACGTAAGTACAAAATAATGAAGAATATATAAAATGTACTACCGGTACTTTGATAAAGGAACTGAAGTTGTAGATGTTAGCTTGGAGATCAAAATCAAATGGAATAATATAAAATGAATTCACAGCATTGTTTTCAACGAGAGCAATTAAAATTTGACAAAATGTTGACTTTAAATAACCGAGTAAGTGTATATAAGACGGAAACATATTTAATAGAAATTTATGTATTTTTATAAAAGATATTTATAATATATATTGTTTACAAATTTCAGAACATCCAATTTAACTAATTTTGTTTACTAATCTACTAAATGCATTGCTTATGGTTCTTTTAATTTATTTATGAAGGTTAAGCAACTTATCTATTTATATTTAGTCAATTAAGTGAATAGAAAAAAAACTTTAAATTAAAAGACAGTTGACATTCTTAATATCAGTATTTATAATACCACAATAATTATATTCACGCCCCATGTAATTATTTATCATACAGATTGTTAGATTCATAAATATTTGAGATTAAATAATGTATTATTAACAATAAATTAATTTATTACAATTTATCTGTTATGTCGGATATCAACAGTTTTACTTTTCGGTCTCAAACATCATTTTATTATATTTGCTTTGGTATTGAATTATAGCTTTTAAAACCGTTTAATAGAACGTAACAATAATTACGAAGTAATATTAAGACAATACTTTGAGAATATTTTTTATCGAATTTTCTTTCAATATAGTTGATTTTGTAAATCGTGTAAAATTTTATATTAAAAAATTATTATTATTATTATATATTTATAAAATGTGTGAAAATTATTTTTAGAATTGCACATAAAATTTGATGACTTGCATTTGTTATCTCAAATTGTTCCACAATGCGTATTTCTACATTGTTTCGTGAGTTACGTATTCTTGTATGGTGTGTAACGCTGCTGCACTGGTTAACCTTAGACCATGTGGTCTAACCTATGTAAACAGTGCTATATATAGTATTTATGGAGTAATCATGCGAAAGTGAAAAGAGAAATAGTGGAATTGGACTGTGATGTCGAGCTTGTAAAGACACTGTAAAGAACGAATTTGTAGAATCGAACCGGTGCACGTTGTGTTGTACCCAAGTTTTTGTTGACTTTCTGTAGAGACTCTTGAGTTTGATTGGTCGATATTGTCGTAGAGCTGGAGCCGGTTGTCAGTAATGTCAAGTAGGGTCCCTAGCTGGTGCTAAGCTTTTAACAGTCGAGGCGAGCAAAAGATATCTATATACAGGCAATCGTGGCAGCGTGTGTGAGGCGCCAAGTCCTGAGACGGAGAGACGGAGAGAGTGAGAGAGAGAGAGAGAGAGAGAGAGAGAGAGAGAGAGAGGGAGTAAGAGTGGAAAGGGAGAAGAAAAAGCCTCGTGTTTGTGTACGTGCGCCGGGGCCGTGGCGAACGTCCTCTACTTCCGCTCTCCTTTATCGTGTTGGCCCGTGCCGCCGACGTCCCGTCTCACGACGACGAGTCGACGAGAGACGACAACGAGTCGCGTGTGTCGTTAAGGGGCGAAGGAAATACGCGAGAGTTTCTCTCTCTCTCTCTCGCTAACAACAGTGGAAAAATCGCGTCGTGGTGTTTGGGGAATTCGGTCGAGGGTAAGGAACGAGTACACGTTGACGGACTCTTCGCTTCTACTGATAACAAGCAACGATAACCACGCGCTGAAGACTCCCCCACTCATAAAGTGTAGACATAAAGTAGGAGGCACGTAAACACGCCAGACATCACGAGCTACTGCCTCTCGATATGTTTCCGAAAATGCTTCCCTGGTCTGATTTCATCCTTAGGAAGCTAACCTAACCTTAAATTTCGATTCGAGCATACGTATTGTATACGCGCGTGTTCACTAATCAAGTGTAGGCAAGAGAGGGAGAGAGAGAGTGTGTGTGTGTGTGTGTGCATGTGTGTATATGTGTGGGCGAGTGAGAGTGAGAGTGAGGGTAAGTGAGTAAGTAGACTGCTGTGTGCAAGGAGCGACGGAGAGAGGGTGAATGGAAGTGAGTTGAGCGAGTTGAAACAGAAGGAAAGAAAATTAAGGAAACAGCAAAGAAAAGAAGGAGACGTCACGTTACCTCGAGTAACACGGATGGGCTCCAATAAAAAAACAAAAATAATAAAAAATACAAGAATTATAATCAAAAAGAAAGGCGAGAAATTTTCGTCTAATTGTCGTGCACGAGAATTAGGAGCTTATGTTTAGGTGTCCTGTGTCGATGGATCGTTCGAACATTGCGCCAGCACGCGCTGCTCCTTGGCCTGTCACGTGGTAGCCACCCACGTTTTGCCGTGTTGAACTCGTGTGTGCGCGCTTTGTGGGTAAACAAGAAGGAGAAGGAGGAAGAGGCGCTCACTGGGAAAGTCTTTCGAGCGATAGACGGATTGAGGAAGGCAAAAGAGGTGGAGGAAGAGGCGCCTAGCCGCCCGTTCACGGCTATTGTCGACAGCATTTATCGAGACAGCGATCGAAGGTGTGCGAATTTGTTTTCCAACTCGCACGTATATATGAGTAAGTGTTTCTTTTCTAGCTCCCTCTTTCACTCGCGCGCGCATACATTCTCTCACACACATACACACATACAAACACACACACACACACGCACACACACACACACACACATACCTTAGCCTTACTAGTGCTCCATCTTTCTTCCGCTCGTTATAACTTGAATTATCGAGTTCTTGGCGCACACGAGACTTGAACAAGAGTTAATAAAGTGCGAGTGGAAGGTTTGAGCCCACAACTTGACCACGTTCCGCATCTACATACGCGTATTGGTCTTTCAGGGTACGATTGAAGATACATAGCTAGCAAGTTTCCGGGGTCTAGAGAGAAAAAAAGAAGTATACGACAGAGGCCGGCCATATTACGCGGACGAGATTACATATACACACGTGCATGCTCATACGTATATGAGCTTCGCGAGGTGCATGTGCTGTGTTCGTTCTTTGGTCCTCGCTGTTTTAAGGGCCGACACATTCCGACTGACTTAAAACGGGTTACTGCTTTTTTTGTGAACCTGCCTAGACTCTCTTGGATTGATCACTCTATCTCTTTCCTGTGAAAACGAGCTTGCAATCACTGTTAGTTGAAGGGGGCAAATATTGATATAGATTGAGATGTCAACATACACAAGGACACAAGAGAGTGATGCTTGGGCATTGCTAGCCCTTAAGTCTACACCAGCTAGTCCATCTAAGATGCAGTGGAATCTAGAGACAAAGGGGGCACCCATCGCTCGATTAGAAGGCAGAGAGTTTGAATACATGGTACGTCAAAGACGCATCACCATTGGCCGCAATAGTAGCAAAGGAGAAGTCGATGTTAACATGGGACACTCAAGTTTTATATCGAGAAGGCACCTTGAAATATACTATGGTCATCCCTACTTTTTTATGACATGTAATGGGAAAAATGGAGTTTTTGTTGATGGTGTTTTTCAACGAAAAGGTGCAGCTGCCTTTCAACTGCCAAAGACGTATGTAAATTTTAATACATTCAAAATTGATATGCTTATGTGAATTCCATTTGAAATTTTTTAAAAATTTTTATAGCTCTTATATATAACTTCATACAAGACATGGCATTAATTTTTTAATATGCCATTTTATTTGTATATATGTATGATCATCAACTTGTTAGGAAATCAATTTATAAGCAATTATAATATAATATATTATAAATGAGAGTTGAACAAAAGGCATTAACTAATACTTAAAAATTTTTTATATTAAATTTCAAATTTTATCAAAATAATTGATAATTTTATTTAATAGTACAATTTAACATAGATAACTAGACAACAAATAATTATCTTAAATGTGTATATAGACATTATTTGTTTGGATGATGAGGTTATTATCCTTTGAGGGATTGGGCTATAATTTTATAAATTTACTTATAGATTTAATTAAATATCTTCTTTAATCTAAAACTTCAAGTGTACATCATATTTTTAATTAAATGTTTTAATAATTTTTACAATGTAAATGTGCGTTCTTATTTAATAGAATATTTTTACAAATTATGGGTATAATTTAGATAAAATTGTAAATTCCTAATCTTGTATGTGATTATTTGCTTGTTTCTTGTATTATAGTTGTATTAACATTTTTAAATATTTCGTTTGTCATTTAAAGTAAATATTGATATTTTGAATGTTGTTATAAAATTATATCAAACTGTACCAGATCCATAAAATTAATCCGTTTGCACTTGTTATAAACAATTATTTGGTAGTGCAATTAGGATTGCGCGAAGAAGGCTGAAGGGGGGGAGGGTTCGACGAAGGTAACAGTTGTAAACATTTGTTGGGTATTTAACAGGTGCACATTCAGATTTCCAAGTACAAATATAAGGCTCGTGTTCCAATCGCTAGTGGATGAGCAAGAGCAGAGTAATGTAAGGGTGGCTTCACCACCTAAGCAAAGAGCACCACTGCCGCCTTTGCGTATAAATATTCCGGATACCGGTTACAGTAGTCCTTTCCCGTCACCGACGGGAACGATAAGTGCCGCAAACTCGTGTCCAGCGAGTCCACGTTCTGGACAAGGTAAAAGAAACATATCGGCAGATTTACAAATGGTCGCGGTTTATGCAGCAGCAGTTGCCAATGACCCACAAAACACATCGATAGAAAGGCATGATGCGACACAAAGTACAAGTAGACAAATGAGCCCAGAGCCAGGGACAGAACCTCGTTATAGAAGCGGAGGTGGTGGAACTAGTGGTACGTAACGCTTTCCCCTAATATAGGAAAATATTGCTTCTCTATGAAGAATAATTGTAGTAATTATTTGTATGTTTGTTGAAATCTTTAGCAAATGGCAATGTTGCCGCGTCACATTATAGTCCTCCAAAAGATGACTCAAAACCACCATACTCCTATGCTCAACTTATCGTTCAAGCAATAGCCTCAGCGCCTGATAAGCAACTCACGTTATCAGGAATTTATTCCTACATAACGAAACATTATCCTTATTATAGAACGGCCGACAAAGGTTGGCAAAATTCAATTAGGCATAATCTATCACTGAATCGATATTTTATTAAAGTACCGAGAAGTCAAGAGGAGCCTGGTAAAGGATCATTTTGGAGGATAGATCCTCAGTCAGAGGCAAAACTTATCGAACAAGCATTTAGACGACGAAGACAACGAGGTGTGCCTTGTTTTCGGGCCCCCTTTGGACTATCGTCAAGGTTAGTGCCTTCTGACTATTTTAAATAATGTATACGTCCCTTTTTTTTAAATTAATTTTTAATAATCTATTAATAAACAATGTATCGATCGCGTAGAAGTGCACCAGCGTCTCCATCCCATGTCGGCATCAGCGGCTTAATAACTCCTGAATGTCTCAGTAGAGAAGGATCTCCTGGACCAGAGTCATACCCAGATAGTTCAGTACCTTCTCCAGCTGGTCAGTTAAATAGTCAGTCAGCACCTGGTTCACCCGGTCATCCGTATGTGCCGCCCTCGCATAAATCACGCCTGATGCAACAAATTACAGTAGTAACCAATGGTGTTAATAGTGATTCTAACAGAGATGGTAAGCTGTTTAGATTTGCTTTTTCTTTCTTTTTTTAACATACCATGTTACTTACTGGCCATGACTTTTATAAAGAATCATAATTATCGTAAATTTTCTGTGATGCATGTGCAAGCTTCTCTCAACTTTTTTGCGCTCACTTACCCACGCACACAATAACAAAACGTATTAACGTATTAAATACGAATATATATTTTCAGACAAGTATTTGCTACCTGGAAATGTATGCGAAGACCATGCTTTATCTCCAGCTGGCCAGTATAGTCCAGCTCCTGTTATTGTACAAACAAGTTATAATTACAGGTAAAATACCAGGATGATTTATACACAAGTTTTCACGCTATTTTCGAAATGTGCATAAAAATGTTATGTAATTATATAGCAATTATTATCATAAAAAATAACTAAAGATTACATATTATCAGATATCTTTCTTATAAAGACTTATATCAGAAGGTACTCCGAGTCGTTGTTTTTAAGTTGTTACAGTAATATAAAAACTTTCTAACTAGAGTATTTATTCGTAACTTGAAGTTTGTATGCATGATATATGAGAGTAGATATTGGCTAAAACATAGTTACAGCATTAATAATGAATATCGTAAAATGTTTATAGTGGTAACTTTATTGGACCTGACGTAGGCGTCGGTGTGAGCAAACGCACACACGAGGAACCAGATAGTTCGCCGGGTTCACCAGCACCGTTGGCTATCGTTGAGAGCCCTGAGCCACCAGAGCAGCAGCCACAACAGCAACACCAGACGAAGCGTCAGCGTGTGCATGAGACCGACGATCACTGAACACACTATTGCGTAGCGCGCGCTAGCCACTTCAAAACTATTACTTTTCTTTTGTATGTAGGATAACGCTGTCTTATCGCATTCACCTAAATCGCCAAATGTTCTCGTCCACACCTTCCTGTAATTTGTGCTCGACAGACATTCATCGGTGCATCAATATCAATCGCTGCTTTGGGAGATAGAGAGGAAGATAGAAGGATCTATATGAGTTTCGAGCGGCCCAGTGTCCGAAAATATATATTCGTTCGATTCTTAGCTTTTCGTAGAACGGTCCGTTATAAGCATCACCAGTTGTGATCTTTGATGAACGTTACGGAAAGATAAAGAGAATTATTGGTGAGACATGAGACGATGTAAGAGGAACAAAACGCAAAAAAGTTTATATTTATTTGAAAGGGGCGGGGAAATGAATTTATAGTTAGTTCTGTCGCTTAAGAAGCGTTCTTATTCGATTAATTTTTACTTGACTTTGCCTACTGCTGCAATGAATTTCAAATTTTTATAGCAGCTAGACAAGATATGTTCCTCGGATTCTAGATATATAGTTTGTAATAGATTGGCCACCAAAGGGTTTATGCCTTTTCTTTTTCACTTTTAAATTATTTTACGATATTAAATCAGAGATAAAATTATTTAAAAGCTATACATACTTTCCATTATAATTTCAGAAAATAAAAAAGAAAAAAAAAGAAAAGAAATCTATCGAATTTTAAGACATTTCTTAAATTGGTAAGTTTCTGGATTAACTTCCCGTCAGGAATGTTAACAGTTAATATTCTCATAATGTGCCTGCCCGAACGAAAGAGCGAGAGAATGCGTGAGAAGTGTAGGATTGACTCGCTATATTTGTACCAAAAAGAGACATTTCATTCAAATATGTAACATTTACTTGTTGGACAATGACTAGTTGACATGAGATTTTCCTGGCCAAAGAGTTGCAAACCTATTGTATTCGAAGCCCTAGGAAGAAATCGATGCAAATTATTAATTATTAAATCAATATCAATTATAAAATTATTAATATATGTGTATATCTATGCATACCTATGTGCGTAAGTCTGTGTGTGTATGTCCTTATATGTAAACACACACACACACACATACACCCATATATTTACATATATATATATATATATATATAATTTATTAATGAGCATAAAAAAAAACAAAAAATTATTAGATGCATCTTTTATGGGTTTATCGTAGCAATTTTTGGGTATAAAATCTTCTTAAATTCAAAAATAGAATAATTGAAAGATAATGTCATTATCCAAATCAGGCATAATATCAATAATGGATTAGAAGTATTAAAAATAATGTGTAAATTTTTAGCAATAACATTAAAAATGCTCGACGCTTATTATATTGAAAATCGTTTATTTAGTAAATGATCTTAATTTTCGTGCAGTAGCAAATGTCCGACGCCTATACATACCGAAACTCCTCTCTTTTGTTCAATTTTTTTTGTGAACTCTGCTTCGCAATCTGATTTTCTTGCTATTAAAATGTATCTTTATTTTTGCTTCGTTAATACGTGTTTCTAAGAAAGATTTTGTGAACAATTAGAGCGTACGAAACCTTGTTATATAAAAAAGCGAGGAAGAAAGAGAGAGAGAGAGAGAGAGAGAGAGAAAGGAACAAGAAGCGTGATAAGTTTATAAATAAAAAAAAGTGATATTGAATAGAGTTTTTGTTCGAGTACGGAACGTCAGTCAGGATTATCCCTTTTCCGAGCCTGATCTTATAATTTTGCACCAAAGTTCCCTTTGACCTTTGTTCCAACGAACCTATTGGAAAGATTAATGTACTATATGCATATAGTTCTAAAGATGTACACATTAGCATTACGCATATTCGTATACACAAAATATACATAAAAGAATATATATATGTATGTATATGAGAGTGTGTGTATATACATATGAATATATATATATATATATATATATATATATATATATATATATCTATATATCTATATTATATATATAAAATATATATATTATAAATATTATGTTGAAACTGGAGATTTTAATATCTCGATTCGCGTCTTTTTCTAAGCGATTAAACTATGACATTTGGTGAAGTTCATAAAGATTTGTGTAAGAAAAATACAGGAAATAAAAGAAGAATCGTGATATTCGACTAGAATGACCTGAATTAATTCTTTCGAAATCATTTGTAATTCAAATGGTTCAATGCTTGTTCAACTAGTCAGTTGAGCCTACTATAAGGCTTACATAACTTCTTAAGAAGTTCACCCGAGTCTATTCAATGAAGAAATGTGCATGTGGATTAACCAAAGTAGCTTACTTAAGGTGTATAAAAATATTACGTGTAAAATGGAAATTATTTTTTTAGATTTTTAATGCATTTGAAAAATGTTCAATGATTTATGTTTTGTGATCAACGTTGTTTACACGAAATTTCAAAAAACATGGGAAAGCAAATGTTTACATGTTATCAAAGTATTAGAAATTTAAAAGAAATTATTTGTTTCATCTGCAAGTATGCTCTTACGTGTTTTTCTTTAAAAGAAAGTGATATTTACTAACATCTCAATTATAAAACTAGTATTTAGCTTCATGATATCCTGAATGACGTGATGATACTTCATTAAATTCAGAAAACAAGAAACAATGATACTTATAACTTACCGAGTTAAAGAGATGAAAACAAAATAAACAAAAAGAGGTTAAAAGTGAATTTGTTTATGTATGAGTGCAAGGAGAAATTGCGCGTGAGGGAGTAAGAGCAAGAGCAAAGAAATAAAAAAAAGTTATATAATATAAAGCGATCTCTATTTTTATCACAAAGCAAGAGAAGACGCTTGTAAAACGAGAAAACGGAAGATAAATTGATGATGACCGATCTGTTAATGATCGATAGGTCAATTTTTGCGTTAGAAAACATTATATAATTGTCAAATAATTAACTTAGTCTACAACGAAAATTCTCGTGTTATTTATATATTTACATCTCAATTATTATGTTATGTAAATAATTGAACAGAATATTTTTTTCTTTTCATGAAATTAATGTATATTTCAACTGTAATACCCACAAATACATCTGCGATACATTAACATTATTCGGTAAATATTAATCAGAAAGACTATTAACAGTTAAGTTTTGTTTAAAAAATTGTAAGTTATGTTGTAGAATAATATATTAGAATTACTTTTCAAAGTACAATTACGTACTGTTTAATTATTTACATTTCAATTTTTTCAGTGTGACTTGCTTTTATGAAACAAAGTAAGAATGATAAAGAACGAAGGAAATGAGATTAGATTTTTAAATATTTGATTTCAATTATCATGTGTATATTTATTGTCGAAATCAGCAGTCACCACCTTGGTGAGCGATATAATAAATCAGAATGCGAAACAATATAATAATCGTGTTTTGCATCGTACAAAGCGCAAGTATTAATCGAGTACTTAACCAATTGTGATTGATATATTGGCGATAGACGGAAATCGATAATAATTGTGAGCGTACAATAAGTCCGTAAACGCGAGATAATATGAGCAGCCAGACATGTAGTTGTAGACCTTTTTTGGAGAACTTTAATTTAAGTATTTTTCAATCCAAAGTGTTCTCTAAATCAAACAAAAACAAAACCAAAAAGACGAAAAATAATCGGTCAATCAGTTTTTTTGAAAGAGGACAAGGATTCTCGCTATTTTATGAAAAAGAAAAGAAAGAAAGAAAGAAAGAAAAAACATTTCGAGACGGACAAAAACAAAATTAAAATGGACTAAATCATCATTGAGGACATGTATAATAAATAAAAAAGAAAAAAAGGAAAAATAGAGTAATATTGAGAGTGTGATGGAGCCGGAAATAATTTAAGAGCTTTCGGGTGAAAGTTTGTTGAAAACATATATTTAGATTCCTGATAATCGATAATTCTCTGTACGTATCTGTTCAACATCACTCCTCTGTTTCTTCATTTTCTCCTAAGTACCTAGAAAAAAGCAACACGTCACTTGTCGCTAATAAAATTTATTAAACGTTCACGAGTTTTTCATTTGAGCATGAACCAACATAGTTCATTTACACTCCTTATCCTGTATTCATTCGAAAGAAAACGAAATATTTCCCAGTGCAAAATGGGAAGAATGTCAAGAGCATAATTACAATTCCAAGTGTTTTAGGTACGCGAGAGCTGCATCGATTATCAGGATATCCGCGGTTATGTGATGCGCGGTATGGCTAGTGAGTATGGAAGAGAGTGTTTTGTTTGTTTTTGTTTGTTTGTGTGTGTGTGTGTGTGTGTGTGTGTGTCAGTGAATCGGGGAGGGAAGACACCATTTTAAATAAAAATTCCCTTTTTCAGGGATGTGATTATTAGCTGGTCGCCTATTCCTTGGCGCTTGAAAGTATGACGGCTGATGGGAACCGACGTGAGTTGTTTCAAGAATTCCGCTATATGCGTGCTGCCCTCGAATTTAATAAATTTTCGGTGGCGATCGATAGCCGCGATGGATATTTCACCTTTGCAACAATTCCGGCACACTCCGTATATATTAGCGCGAATTAATATTTCGTTATTGAAAATCCCGTTAAAATTTAGAATCCTCTTACCACGCTTGTCTGCTCTTCGGTATACTTTTGACGATCGACTATTTTTCAACTTCGTGGGATTTCGTAGCCATATACGGTATTGGGCACTTCGTAGTTTGCAAATTGTAACTACGAGCTCGATAATAGTAGCTTTTGAGCTTCGAGTTCGCAGCTGCGGTGCTATTGTTTGCTAATAGAAAATTATTGATTCAAAGTATGAACGGCAGAGAGAGAGAGAGAGAGAGAGAGAGAGGGAGGGAGAATATAACATAATGATAATTAGTATTTTAACACACCAAAGATTCATTACCCACGCGAATTAGATGTCACAGATGAGTTCGAAATTGCGTGTGTTGGAGAGGAAAATTCTTAAAGATGTTCGAGGATACTTTGCATTCAGACAATATGTTAGGGCGACTCTACATTCGGGAAGCGGCAGAGCGTTACACGATACACAGATTATTGCTGACAAGTAATTGAACCTACGATTTAATAATCGTACATGTATGGTTGTATGGTTAGAGACGTCGGCCATTCGATTGATCGTTAAAGCGTATTATCTTTATCAATTATTGATAAGAAATGAGAAAGTTTGTAGTTTTAAGCAATTTCTGAAAGAAAGAAAGAAAGAAACAGAAAGTTTTTATTTGGAAAAAATTGCTGGTATCTGTTATTGATAATTATACGACGCTAAATAATTATTAATAAGCGAATATGGTGGATTTTCAAGGTTGTCTGTGATAATATAATAATAACAATATTATGAATTGCTTTACGCATTTTGAATTTCAATGTTATAGCATATTATACATTATTAATCTTAATCTAAAGTATGCAATTACGTAATTGCAAGTTTTTTAATTGTATGCCAATATACTGCTTTCAAATGTTGGAATGAAATTAATATTCGTATACATCGAAAGGTTAGTAATTACTGAGAGAAGACTAACAATTTTTGGAATAGTTTGTTTGAGCTTTTTTCTGAACTTTCATTCATTACATTTGAAGATTCGTTTTATGCTCTTGCCTTGCAGTAAAATTGTTTTGTCGAATTCGAAACAATTCTTCGTTGACTAGAGTTTATGCGTCACCGATTATTAAAACTTATTATAGCATCTCGCTCGTTCGATCAGTAGCAAAATCATAATTATCAATTAATTTCATTAGTGGGCGATGATTTCGAAGTGCACCTAAATTTAAGATGTAGCGAATCAAAAACAATTTATATATATATATATATATATATATATATATGTAATCTTATATCATTTCTTATCCATATTTTAATTCCAGTGGTCACTCATTTAATTTATTTATGCTTTTTGAAAAAAAAATGTATGCATTGAGAATATTAAAAAGAAACTATTTATATCGTTTTAAGAGCATGTCGAAGGGTGTAAATA